CCATGGCCAGCTGGGTTGGTGGCCATGTACCTACTGGTGGAGGGGAGCAGGTTGGTGAGCACACCCTGCCTGCCCTCCACTGGTACAGGCACAGCAGAGACCCTTGCTACTGCCAGGACTCACTGCAGAGAGGCAGAACAGGAATGTGGATGCAGCCTATCCCCTTGTTACTAGGGTTTAAGCATGTCTTAAAGGGTGCCAGTGCACTCTGCCCATCATTCTGCCCTCCTCAGTTATTGTTCTGAGATGTCAGAACCCCACAGAGGAGCTTGCATACAAATGGGAACAGATTTCATGCCCAGGCAGAGTGCTGCATGCCATCTGATATAGCATTTCCAGAGGAATAAATGACTGGACAAATCTAATGGATTCTGGTATCTGAGTTTTAGGGAAAATATTCAGTCACATTCTAGTCACAATATAAAAACATCTCTGTGCTGTTAGACTATCTGAGCAATTTACAGCAATCCATTTTAATCAGAGATATGTGGTGTTATTTTTAAACCTGACAAAATTCTATGCCAAACGGTGTGGGATATTACAGTTCCAGGGCCTCAAAAGAGTTATTTGTTTCTGTTTATTTTATTAAATATTCTTAGACACAGCCTTAAGATGACAGATCAATAAATGCCTTTGTGGTTTCATGATAGAAGGCAGCAATTATTTTCTTCCATTACAATATAAGCATAACCTAATTTTACTCATCTGTCATGTGCGTAATGGTAATAAAGAAACATCACCATGTGTTTCTTTTACCTTTCCTTTTTTTTTTGTTTTGGTGATCTTCTGTTTTCCTTTCATGTTTTCCAACTCTTTGTGTCTTTCATTTAAGAGGAGTTGTGACCAGTTTGTCTTGCTTTATGACACTTCCTGGGGGCATGGTAGCAAAAGCCTGTCTGTGACTTCTCTTCCTGTAAGGTCTAAGTATTTTAGGCCTTCACCTGAACTTAACTGTAGAAAAAACAAAGACATAAGATCTTTACAGAACTGAATTTGGATTTCACCATTAGAGGTGTTTTATCATGAAAGTCCATAATTATTAAAGTCAGGTAATTTGGCTTACAATAGTTTATCAGATAAGAGATGCAGAAAGGACAAAAAAAAAAGCCTGTAAGATCCTGATATATCTAATGACAACTGAAATGTATAGTTGAGATTGTCAAGGCTAAAATCAACTCATCTTCCTCACTTGAAAAATCCCATTTAATACACGGTAAAGATGCACACTACTGGACTATGACTGCAAATGAAGTAAGCAACATTTGTCTTCTCATCTAAGCACACCTCTGCTTTGGGTATACCACACTGGGGCTGATAATGACTAACTGACCAAATAAACTTTGCTGAAAGACTACATCCAGTTTTCTCTTTGTTGTGGGAGATTCCTGAACAGTGATTCAACACCCCTCCCCCAGCAGCCACCTCTCAGATATCTTTGTCCTGACTCAAGCAATAAAACCTCCTTACTATTACTCCCAATTTTTCTTTTAATTCAAAGCCAGTTATGTTTCCATCTTGCTGTCATTTAAGTGTCAGCCAGCTCTACCCTGAAGGAAATTATTAGGCAGTACTAACTGGTCACAGCTCTGCTGAAGTATGTCTGACATCAATCAGATGCTCCATCGGATTCACTTTTCCTAATCCTGACTTCAGTGAGCCCAGGTTTTGGCCTAATATGTATTACACTTAAACACAACTGGAAATGTTTTATTTTGATTTTATGAAATTTTCCATGAGCACTGGAGTAAGTGAAGCACAGTTTTGTCTGGATTTATATCTTGTGGTTGGTTGACTTTGCTCTTCAACTAAGCTCTGATGGAGACTATTCCCCTGGGTGGGCAATACCTTCCTTGTGACTCCTTCTGAGGTTTAGAAAGGTACTCCTAAAATTTCATCAGTTTCCATAGCCTGAGCCTATATGGGACCCATCACTGGATTCACACCTGAATTCACATCTTTAAGATTTCTTATTGCTGAGGCTGTAAGGATAACTAACAGAGAGACAGACCTAAAATAGCATGACCACATAAACTTCATTCCTTTAGAAAACAAGGCCAAAACAGAACAAATTTTGCTTATTATATCAAGATGAGTGGAAGTTTTACTTATTTTTGCTTTAAATATGAGAAGAAAAAGTTGAGGAAGTGTTTTGGATGTATCATTCAGGTTTATTTTGATCTAATTCTACCTTTAGAAGCCTCAGATGAAACAGTCCTGAGGGACAGCCACTTAAAAAGATGGACTACCCGAAGTCAAACAAAATTATGTACAATTGTCTTGGGGGACCTTTTTTTGATAACATGAAATAGCTTTCATAAATCAGAGTCTAACTGTAAATTATCAGAGAGCATTTCCTTGCAAAGAGTGCTAGAGGCTCATTTTTCTTTTTAATGTTGAAGTTAGTGGTATACCATATTCACTGCTGGACTGTTTTCACTGTCCTATGACTTAATTTTGCAGTGGTCAGTGACTTTCACTTGCATGAGTGATCTGTGGTTTTATTCTCTTGACATCAAAGAGAAAAATCATCTTGGCTACATTACAAAAAACAAGTTTTGAACTTTGCAACTATAAACTGTGACAAACTCTCAGATTTTATAAAAGCTTTCTTTTAAGTTGAAGATGACTTACAAAAAGGGGAAAAATGTTTTATGCCCGCATGTACACTTTTACAATGTACAAAGAAGGGCCTAAGAAGAGTTGGGGGTTTGAGAATCTTTTTTTTATTAAGTGTTATTTAATCTCCAGCAAAATCAGGAAAGACCAGATTTGACATTTTTGGGCCAAGCATTAGAAATAATGTGCCTTCCTTTTTCTGCCTGCTCCTTCCCTTCCTTCACATTCCAACCCTTCAGGTCTACTTTACACACCAGAGAAAAACAGGTGTACAAAAGATGGTTGGCAAATTCTTGCCAATCTCTGTGGCTAGTTGAAACCTGAAAAACCTCAAAGGACACTTTTTAGTGAAGCCTTAATGAGCCCTCTGGAATAAGGCAAAGGAAATGGTACAGCAAAGCTTGACAGTCTTGATATTTCAGTGTTAAGCAAACAATCAGGACAAAAATTTTTGACTGGCTTTATGCCATTTAAAAGAATCACAAGAAATCATAGAAACATTTTTCCCTTTATCAATTTAATGTAGCAGAAATCAGAGCTCTGATGACATTTCTTGAAAATAGGCAACTATAATAAACACGTTGGCAGTACAAGACACTCATTCTGATATGCAAAGCAGCAGCAGACTCTGGAAAAGCTTTTGAAACACAAAAGTACTTCCCAGCATGTGAAAAGCTGCAAATTATTCTGTCAATATTTTAATGGTATACTTTGCTTTGAAGAGATCACCTTATGAAATGTGTGTATAGGCAAGAGCAGAATGAGATAAGTTAAAGGCCACAAGCTTTAAAGACAGTCATTCACAAATCATATACCCCAGGAATATAGAATAAAATACTTTCAGAGAAGGACAATGGTTCTTGTTAAAAATGAACTGAAAAAAGAAAAAAAAAAAGGATATGACTACCTGAAATGAAAAATTAGGACAGCAATAACAAAGTGAAGAGAGAGAAGCTACTGTGCTCAGTGTTTGCTAACTTGTTTTTAGTTCCTGAAAATTGCCTGTCCCCCTCCCACAAAAAAGGGAATGAAATGCTATGTCTGTTGGAGCTGCTGTATCAGCATCCACTGGCAGTGCTACATCTGTGTTGAACACCTGGGGCCTGCTATAAGCAGTCATCCCCCAAATGGCAAGGCTGCTGTGGTTATGCTCAGATTGCTTCAGACCCTCTCTGAGCACATTCCTGCTACTTGGGAGAAGCCACAGGGTCTCTGTAATGGGTTCTTCTCCCCAGACTGCCCTGTCTCACCACTGGCAGTGGGGAGCAGCCCTTCCCTTTGACAAAACAGACTCCCACCTCCAACCAGGGCATTGTGTCAACATCCTAACCTGATGCCCTGTGCTGAGCAGCTGTGCTGAAGAGGACACTGGTGATACTTGGGGTGAAGAAGGTCTGTGACTCCCACTCTCACTTTGAGCTGTCCCAACAATGGGATATGAGAGATACCATCCATCACTAAATGCAGGTTGAGCTGTTGATCTGTCCTGACACTGGCCTCAAACTGGCTGAGCAGAGCCCCACCACAGAGGCTCTGGCCCACTGGTAGAAGACAGTGTGCCACCTCTGAGCTCCAAATTTCTTGTATTGGAGAATAGAAAGTTCCCCAGGTAGGATATTTAGGGGCCTGCTTCATAAGCAGGTGATTGAAAGTTCTAATGTTTCATGTTCCAAAGTAACTGTTCTATGTACCTGATTCCCACATTCTGTATTTATTTTATAAGACCTAAAACAGCACAGACACTGGCCAGAAGAGAAAGGGAAAAATTCTGTGCTTCCTCTGCTCACAGTATTTCATATGGTTGGAGAGCAGCAGCCTCCTGAAGTCATGGTGTACAGAAATGCAACCCTCCCACCCGAGACCACCTGAACCCTCATTCAGATACAGATTTCACCGACACTTTCTTGCAGAAAACTGATGCCAGTTGAACTATTTCTGTACCAAGCATGACTAACCACATTACAATCTGGCTCTTCATGCCATATTCCAAACCAGCTCTTTCATTTTTTTCTGAGAAGGGCAGTGATTCAGCATTAACTTACTTTTAAGTATGTGATGTTTTTCAAGGACTCTTCAGTGCACATGAATGTTTATGAATACTTTTTTTAAATATTAAAAGAAATAACTGCCTAAACGTTCCATTTATCGGCATCAGTTTCTCAAGCAAAAAACTACATTTTTTAGCCCCATAAAGACCTCAGTGATTTTTATACTTAATTTACAGGAACTAAACCTTTTAGGGATAATCAACAGCAATGCTAAGCAACCTGCAATGATCAGGGACTTATATTTTGTAACTGAAACTGAAGGGACGGATACCTGGCAATGGAATAGGCAAAGAGAGAACAAAAGTCTCAAAATGTAACAAATAAATTATCACTTACCCTGTTCAAGCAGTATTTGCTCTCTTTCCCGTAAAAGTGCTGGAGGCATTTCATGTTCTGCTTATCAACAATCTTGTTGAAGAACTCGTTGATGGTTCGCACAGAGACGGCGCAGACAGCAGATCGGTTGGTTGGTTCAGAAGAGTCTGGTTTGCTTTGTGCAAAAACACCATAGAGGATATCATCATTGAGCCCAAGGCCCATTTCGTGTGCTAGAGCTGCACCAGGCTTGCTTACGTAGGCAGCTTGCAAAATGTTGAATACCTCCTTCCGGATGGACCTCTTCCTTCGCTTTTCAGTAAAAATGCACTCAAGAGGCATTTCCATGTAGGAACGCATCTCTGAGTCTAAAGTGCAGAAGCGGATAATTCTAGTGTGAAAAGACTGTGAGTCAAGAGCTTCTCTCTGTACAGTCAAAAAATAGACAAAGTGATCATTTTCAAAGGCATGGACGTACCTAATAGGATACGAGTCACGGAACTGAGGGAGGATATCTATATAAGACTGATCTGTGAGAAACTCAAAACCATCCTGTGTTTCTTTTAATCTTCTAACCGATATTGAATGCAGCACATGGGGAGGTTGAAACGCAGATGTCACAGTATTTCCAACAAAAAAGTTGACAAACCTGTCCTTTTCAGTCACCAAAACTTTGGTTCCTAAAGTGCTAACAACACAATCAGGACAGTTATCTGCTTCTCCATCCACCTGGGGTGAGTACATGCAGTGCACCTCGCTTTCAATGTCAGCAGGGTTGTCAGGGTGAATGATGTGACGGTGGCAGATGCCTCCGGACACACTACCACAGCTAATGAGCTGATCATCATAATAAGTTTCTAAAAGCAGTGCCATGTTGATGTTATCCTTCCATATGCTGTTAGATAAATTGGCTTTATCTCGGCAGTCTTCACATGGTGCACAGTCAGGGTTCTCCAAAACAGGCCCAGTCTTGTACACAGAAATATTCTGGAGAGTTTCATTTAGTACGTAAATCTTATTGACTGCTCCAATATAAACATGATGCTTGTATAAAACTACATTCTGAATTGGTGTGTCTGCAATGAAGTTAGGAAGATCATATTTTACACCAAGATTCATCTCTGATTTTTTAGCTGCTTCTTTGCATTGTCCATGGCTCCTCTGCAGCAAGGCAAACAGGAATACAATAAACCCAGAAGGATATGCGGTAAAAGGCTTCATTGTCAGAGATCTAATCTGTCAAAATATATTTAATGGGAAAACTGGTTATATTTCATGTACTAAACCGTCAGTTTATCAGACAACAGAAATCCGTTTCTAGGCTGCATGCAGTAGCTGAGCTATTTCAGTTTAAGAAGTGTTGCAATCTTGCTTAGTGTCATAATAGTTGTATTAGAAACGGCTACAATCACTGTAGGTACCCATTTCACTGCCTTTAGAACAATTCACAGAAGGATTTTCTTATGATGAATTTCTCAAGACCCCTTGGAATGTTGTAGAGCAGCAAAAGAGAGAGGACTACTTCCACAACACCATTAAACCAGCTGACTGGTGCAGTTTAGAACAGGATGGTGTACACATAGCTAAAAGCAAAACTGCCCAGGAAACTTAGGGCACAACAGCACACAAAGCAGTTGGAGCACTTCAATGTGTGGCTATAAGATATTTGTCAAGTTCTCAAGGGGCTGAATGGATTCCAAGCACAGTTGATCAAAAGTAAGAAATAGAAAAGACATGAAATAATGCCAAGATTTGAGCTGAATGGAGTTATATTCTGTTGATTTTTTTTGATTAACCAAGGAAGAGAGACTTCTCCACCAGACCAAACGAAGAAACCCCTCTCTCTCCCTCTCTCCATCTTCTCAAATCACTGTCTTTCATAAAGGCCCAGTTTGGAAAAAAGAATGTCTTTTTTCAGCCAGCCCTACTTCTTGGAATAGTCATTCTCCCTCGTGTTGACAAGGCTTTGTAATGTATTATTAGAATATTTTATGCATCATGTGGTGTTTGGCATGTGCAAGCTTTATTTTAGGCCCTGTACCACAGCAGTAAGTCACTCTGGTGAGCCTTACAAGACACAGGCGTATCGCTGTATTGTAAACAAAGGGCTATCAAGTGACCTACAGCCATTAACTGATGAAATCAAACCATCTAGCACTTCTCTCTTTTTCTTTTACATCTCCACACAGTTGTTTGATGTGGCTTGAAAAACCAAAGGCAGATGACTTGTGTGATATTTCACCCCCTTGAAAGATCAATGAAATGAACTGTGGTTATGAGCGTTTCAGTGCAGTATCCACACTATACCCTGTCACACCAGATTTCTTCTGTCAACATCATGACATTTGCTAAGCCAAATTTAGCTTCTTCATGGAGAAAACAATTATGCATTCTAACAGCAATATGATCACATACTTTGGGAAAATTCCTATAACTTTGACTATAGTTAGGCAATTGTTGTTAATCAAGAAATGCTTGTGACCACCAAGAGAATTTAAAATAGATGATCTTGAAAATTACAAACTGAATAATAAGAATCTGTACCAGTTTTTTATTTCATTAGGAAATGAAAATACTACTATAGACCAGAGCTGTTTCAGCTGTGTATAAATCTAGTGTTTTCACTAGATTGGATAAAACAATCCATCAATAATTCTTGTGGTGCTTTATTTCAGTGTCCACTGAATTCTTTCTGTGGTTTACCTCTTTAATTACACAAAATAATAGGTTTTGGAAACTAATTGTTCTTCCTCCCTGTTATCTGATAAGAATCATGATTGAGAGTTGGGAATAAAAATCAGAAACACAGGCTAGTTGCAAGTATTAGCTGGTAAAAACAAGTCACACTTCTAGTGTTGAGACATAAAGATCATCCTTCAAATCAGTAACATTTTTCTGATATTAATTAGTGATAACAGAATCCTGGAAACAAATCTAGCCTGGATTTGAAAGAAAAAGAAAAAAGAGCAAGGATATTGCTATAATTCGAAAATAGTCCCAGTACACAAACTGCTGACTTCCATATTGTATAGGGCAGGAAACTGTCTTCTCATCCTCTGTAACATCTTGCTATCGTGAATTTTTTTCCTGCTCTGTGCTGGGATGAAACCAAGAGCTTTCAAAGTTTGTGTAAAACACCCAGAATTCACACATGATCCATGTTCACATCCTGCCTGGCCAGTGTCAAGTGCAGGCCCCAGCACTGGGAGAAGTGGGGGCCTGGTCTGACTGTCTGCCTCTATTCAAGCAGCACTTCCACCCAAGACACTGCTGAAATGTGATGCATTCCTGCAGATTCACTTCTGATGAGCCAACGTGTTCTGACAAATACTAGATTAAGCAGAAAATTCCAAAAGTACTCTATTTCTGACACCAGCCAGAGGTAGATATACTGTTACTGTAATAAGTTTAAACCACTTACCAGAGGCAGCCCTGCAGTGGAGAGACAAAGCAATGGGTGGGACAAGAGTTGCATGAGGGTGAGGCACCACCAACACAGGCAAAAAAGATCGAAGGAAGGTTACTTGACAGGCATCTTATTTGTTGCAGTATACTCTGTACTATATTCTTGTTTTAATGTTCCCAAATAGATTTCCCACCCAATAGGTCCCTCAGTTTTCAGTTTACAATCCTCCCTATTCTTCCAGTGTCTAAAAAAGAGGATCCCTAGATGTCCAACAATCAGTACCAATGTGCACTGCAGGGGTATTTAGAGCCATAAATACTGTCTGACATATTCTTTCACTCCAACCATATTTTGGGATGTGAGGCCAGTATCCTCAGACAGTCTGCTCTGCCTACATTCAGTAAAACACCACTGATTTCAATCTATGTTCTGGAGACCAAAAATTCCACCTTAGACTCCTTTAGCAAGTGAGGCTGGAATGGAAAATTTAACAGTAAGAACAAAGGTGGGATTCAGTGTGATGTAAAGGATGCCAGGAATAATAGGTACTTTATTTTACCACTACAGGAAGGAAAATATGAGCAATAAATGAGAACCAAGTCATCTTTTCTCTTCTATTTGAGTTTCATCATCGTGCTTTCCTTTGTGCAATTTTGAGATGTTTCAAGCATCGTCCCAGACAGAAATCTGCTGATTCCAACCTATGGGAAGCTCTGGCTCAGATTTGTGGGCAGCTCTCTAGGGAAGAGGGTTCTCCACAGCCCAGGTCTTCAGCATACTGTGAATCTTCTCTCAAGGTGCCTGACACCAGAAGGAACATGCCCTACAGTGAGACATTTATAGCTTAGGGAGAACACAGGAGTCATGTGAAGAGCATTATGCACTTCACAGTCCTCACATCATATAAACTCTGCTCCTTCTTTCTCAGAGTCTCGTGACATTTGGTGCCACTTTTCATCTGCATCTGACCCAGGTTCTTTCTCTATTCCTGCACTGCAAGCTCCAGCACAGAGCTGCTCTTTTATGACCTTTAGACCAGGTCACTGCAAATACACTTCACCTGAATACATCCTGAAGAAGCAGAGAAATCTTGGTGAATTAAAAATTCAGTCTTTCTTCAAAGGTCCAACAGCTCTCCATAGCATACACTCAAAGGTAATTTGTTGAACTTACAGAGTTTTGATGAATTAGAACCAAAATACTTGTGCTATAGCTACAGGTCAAAGAACTAGCTGCTCTCTATCAGTTGCAGAATGAAAACAAGGAAACCTTTTGTTTCTCTGCTTGGTTTGAATGATGGATGCTGTTCAATCTTTTGTGACCTTCCTGTGACATGTGTGTGTGTCCTTCATGTGTCTACAGATGACTTGTAAGTTTTGGCTTGTGATGGCCATCAGTGAGCAATAGCTGTCATGGATTATTCCTTTTGTAAGAGATATTTTCAAAGCCAGTGTCATGATGCGCTCATTTTTCCATCCCTCATCAGATAGTAGCCAGTAAAACTGATGAGAAAATAGATTTTGGTTAACCATTGCAAATGGTTGGTAATGATGTGTCATATTAGTGTGAGTGCTATGGCTGGTGCTTTGTTTTTGTACCATTAAGTTCTCAAATGGTAATCTTCTTCCAACAAGTTTCATTCCCTCTAATTATGACTTGGGTGATAATTTGTAAATATTGAACATCATGTCTCTCCTTGGCACTGTTTGCAACTGTACTGACAAGTCAGGCCTGGCCTTATTGTGGAATATGTTCAAACTGGCATATGCAAGGAAGCCAGAAAACACAGGCATGCTTGTTTGCCTTTCCCTCATTTCAGAAACTTGGGTCCCATTTATCTCTTATCACAAGCACTCCATGGATCTGCACAAGCTCAGACAACATGCTGACATGAAAGCATTTTGTTCGTTGTTTGGTGCATCTCATTTTTCCTAGCTTTATTACAGAAAAGGAAATGGCAGGGTCCTCTATCCCACAGAGAGTGTTTGTACAAGAACATATTTAGTCCTGAGATAGGTCATTTCAGGTTAGGTGATGGCAGAGCCATGTTAATTCATGTTTCAAAAACTCTATTGTCAGCAAATGGTAGCCTTTTCCCTTTTTAAAGCTGATAGTATGGTTTTATACTTTTTCCAGTGGGAGAGTACATTTTGTTACTTTGGTCTCTGACAGAGTTGAGGTGGCAAATTTATATAGAATAACCCTAGTGACCACTCCTCCTGAGACTTCAGTTTGCTTTGCTATTTTGGACTAAAATCTGTGCCAGTGCAGGACCTGATTCCCTGTGGTTCAGAGGCTGTGCCATGGAGAGGACATCATCATTTAAGAGGACAGGGAAAATGGGAGGGGGTGATAACAGCTCCATTCATCCAGCTTTAATCAGTTGTTGCAAATCTGCCACAGCAGTGGCACCAGCTTCAACAGATAAAGCTCACAATGGATGTGTCTTCACCAGACTTTTCAATTAACCAATTGCATCTGTACACAAGGTTGAGAATATCTAAAACACTTAGTGAGGGTAACCTGTTTTCTAAGTTCAGAGGTAAAAAAAAAGGCTTTAAATCTGAACTTAGTAACCTTAAAACAACAGAAAGAACAAGGAAATTGAAAAAGTCAGCAGCAAACACAAAAATTATCCTTGAGCTGAATTCAAATGGCTAATGTGAGTTAAAATTCATGTTCCCTTGTCTTCAGCACTATTTCAGCTCTAGGTTAGGTCACTCATCCTGACTAGGGTGGCAATATTATTTTTCCTACAGCATGATATGCACTGTAGCACAATTCAGTTTTCCAGAGTATAGAGCCAAAGAACTTATTATCAGTGATTTAGGCTATAAATTCATTCATAGCAGAGGTGGGAGGTTTCTATTTGCTCTTTTTATTCTCAGAGGTGTGTGCCCATGCAGATGGCTGATGGGGAAGAACTGTTGGGCAGGGCACAGCCTAGGCAATTGCTGCAGGATCTACCATTAACTAAATCCTCTACATACACAGTGCAGTCATGTGTGTCAGAAGAAATTGCTTTCATTAGCAGGTTCAACTGATCTGTAAGCCTTTCCTTACAATATTGAAACACATAAAAAAATTAAATTATCCCTGCATAAAACACACTCTTTAATATACATAGTCCATTACTGGGTCTAATATACCATTATAAATCACAGCAGATATCAAAAGAAGCATTTTTGTTGTCTAGCACATTTATTTTTAACAGGCTTTAAACCACAAGAACACTAATCTAGCCTTTGCAGTGGAGAAAATGCTATTCTTACACTCATTTGGCATTTTTTGGAGGTGTCCTGCAGTGCAGTAGAGTATTTTATTTGAATTGCTTCAGAACTTAACATCCTAAAGCCAACTCATGTCATGGGTCTCTAGCACAACTGGATTTATTTAATCATGTTTTGTTGTGATGGGCTACAATGGCACTACTGGTTCTTCTGTAATGAACTTCAGCAAACACTCACTGATATATTATAAATGAGTGGAACTGATCAAGAGCTATATATTGCTCAAAAAGATTAATTTAATAGGTGGAATACATCATTCCTTGCAATTGAGATAAATTTCTCATGTGAGAAAGCAGTACTCATTTTAAGGGCTGAGGAACCAATTCCACAAAGAACATGGACTAGAAGTCCAGAATATACATAGAATGACTGAAAACAGAAAAATACCCCAAATAAGGTAGAACCTTCACTGTCTCTTCATGCTTATATTTGCAGATGGATTTGGGTCTTTAAGTAGAAGAGGACAGCTTTCCACATCTGGATGATAAGGATGGAAGGATTTAAAAAAAACCTATTGTATTGTTTAGCAATAACAGGAAAATAGAAAGCAAGCTTTGAACAACACAATTATTCCATCCTGTTCATCTGAGATGCAAGTCAGCAATTGTGGAACTTCAGTAAGAAAATAACTGTGATGTTATTGTGGCACTTTACCATTACAATTGAAGTAAAATAAACCCAGTTCTAGCATAGACTTAAGCTTGGTATCTGCAGCAAATAGTTCAGCCTGACGTCTGACATGTGAACACCTTACTCAGTGCAAAGGCTCAGTACTAGCAGAAGAAGAGCTGTGTGTGAGGAGAGTAACATGCTGTGCTTGATATAGTGCATGCCATGACTAATAACACAAGGCAATATTGGTCTTCTGGGTCAGGTTAGTGCATATGGAGATATTTGGGGGTCACTTCAATTTTTTCATGTTTGAACAGACTAATTCATCTCTTATCTATTTTCACCAACTATGCAAAGCAAAGGCCTTTATCAACTTCTAGTGAGTTGAGATAAATGCAGACACACCCTAGTGGACTGAGGAAATCACACAAGCTCGCATAAAGATCCAAGTCTTTGTTTCTGGTGTCACAGAAACACCTCACAGTAGGAGAAAGCAACTTACTTGCATTTCTGAGTTGATCCTCTTGATCAATTTTTTTGCATGAGTCTGAGCATTTTGTGGTTGTCTGTACTGAATGAGGACAGTGTGATTTCCTTGGAATGTAGTTCCTCCTTTTGTAAAGAGCCAAGTTGGCAAACCTGGCTGCAAGCACAGTTTTAGCTCAATTCCCTCAAATAGTCTCAGCTTAGACTTGCTACTTTATGTTTTATGGTTATAACATCTATCTACCTGAATTTTTGTATT